TCAGGTGGCAAATACTGTCAGGACAGTCCTGAATATGTGGTTTATAATAATGTATTACCATGTCTAGTATGTGTTTATTTTGGATTAACAAATCACAAAAAGCCACTCTGCTACTGATTCTCCCAATCCACTGCATCTTCTAGTTTGCTGGTATTTATTATTGCTTGGAGACATATATATATATTTTTATTTTTTTATTTTAAAAAGATGAGGTGGGGAGGCTACATATTTGATTGGAGTAATGAGCTGCTAGCTTTTGTAAGGCATCACAAGTAGCTTTTAATGTAATGTACTTAAATTGAATTTTAATTACATTTTGAATCAAAGTGGATCTAGATTCTCAACTAAAGCTAATCTATTTCACTCCTCCCTCCTGTTTTTAAAAGGAAAATACATTAAATATTACCTAATATTACTGTCAAAAACAATGATTACACTACAATAAGAAATCTCTACAAATCCACCCAATCCATTATTGGATTATTCATTTCTAGTACTTACCACCTGTTATGTATTCATTTTTTGGGGGTTAAAAAATTCCACAATACTAAGCACAGAAACTATTTACATTAGTCCATGCTCAGGTGGAGTTTAAAGTCTAAAACTGGCCCTACACCTTATCTGCAGATTTTCTATGGTCAGATGGAAAAGGTGCAACAGATTCCTCCATCTACACTTAACTGTGTGGATGGAGTAATCTCCACCTGGGCCAATCTGTTGCACTTTTTCCATCTGACCACAGAAAATCTGCAGATAATTGTAAGGTGTATGGGCACATTTACACTAAATAAGCTCACATTCTGTCACCAGTTTTAAATAGTTACCTTACCAGGATGTTTTTTTGGACAAATACTGAAACACGTTTTATATTATTATTATTGTAATGTTCTTGTTGTTACTTTGTTTTACACAATGCCATCCGCATTTATTTTAGACAGTTAAGCCCTACTCCTTAAATATACCAAATGTTAAATTCCCAAACCCTGTTTTTACTGAGGTATCAGGTGTTATTGTTATTTAAAAATGTATTTGTAAGTAAACTTTTTAGAGTGCTGGGCAAAATGTGCCACAAACAAGTGATAGTAGTAGCTAAATGCCTGTGATTTTAAACAAATAAAGCCTTTTGATATATTGGCAAAATTTGTTTTGAATAAAGGTGCAATCATATTTGTGTATATTCAAAATAAGCTTCACATATTACAATTTTAGGCTTGAGGTTTAGTGGCCCTTACGTGGAATATGTGCATTACCCCATCAGTTGCACAGTAATCCTTGCCACAACAGACATTCTGCCATATATAATGTGCTGAAATCATACAATTCTCTAAGCATGCTTTAAATATTTGTAAAGTATCATACTGGGCATATAACTAACATATACCATTACATTAACATATTAGGAGTTACTGCAGAAGGGTAAATATAGGCAATTTGTTTTTAGTTCCACTGATTTTAAGTTTGGTTGGCATTGGAATAAAATACTATTTTTTTTAGTAGGATAAAATAATCAGTCTATTCTATCTATCTATCTATCTATCTATCTATCTATCTATCTATCTATCTATCTATCTATCTATCTACAGCATCTAGACATGTAAATGTAATTTAGTTCTGAATGTAAATTCAAATGAAATTCCGTGAATTCGGACATTCGCATGCATCCAAATGTCCGAATTCCAATGAGGCCGAATGCAAACGAATCAGAACGTTCTTTCGGTACATCCAAATTTCGTTCAAAAGGAAACTAAATCAGACACATGACTGATTTCCGACCAATCAGAAAACCCTGTCCGAAACTAAATCCGAAACTAAAATGAAATTCCTAAAGATCTGAATCATGTAATGAAACAATCTTTGAACCTGAAAGAACAAAAAATCCTAAACAAAACAAAATCTTTGCCGGCTTACATGTCTAACAGCGTCTGTTATATGAAAACTTTCCATAACAATTTTCTTCACATCTCTCATAACTTACACATTTTCTTCACACCTCTGTCATTTTGTTGATTTTCACATCAAATGCAATTTGAGGATCTGAATATTATATAAAGTGATAATATTCCTCTTACCTGCTTTAAAAAAGAGGTCCTAGCAGTTATGGTCACTGTTGCATTAGAATTGCTCATTGGAAAGAGCAGAAGATTGTTCTGTAGACATTATGTTTTAGAAAAAAAATCCTTTGTTAGTTAAAACTGTCTGCTTGGTCCTGTTAGGAGGTGCACAGAGAATGGGCAGATAGGTGTTGCAAACATCAAAACAGCATTAAGTATTGCAAATGAAACTACTGTTTTGCCAGGCTTGGTCCTCCCACTGGTAATCACGTTTTGACGTAGTATTAAAGGAAGCAGGTCTACTTTTAAGGCTTGTTCAGTTAAGGTGTTTTGTTATCCATGGATATTAAACAATCCATTGATTCTAATAGCTCACTACAATGTGTTGCACTGCAATACACTGGAAGTTCTGCATGCTGCATATTTGATATTTTTACCCCCAGCTTTACCCCTCAGCTAGTCAGAGGCTAATAAAAATGCAAAGCAACATATACATGTTAACATGTATGGCAATAAGGATTTAATTAGACTGACTCAAATGACAAAATACATGTCCATGTATTTATTTTACAATTGATAATACAGCAAATGCATGGCATCATGCCTGGACTAAACAGCCTCCAAAGCTGGCAATAGACATTGGTGCCAGTTGGCTGAGCAGGCTGCCTGCCTGCAGACTTATTTTCTTATTAGACAGGCATATAAACATGCAGGCTTGAATTGCCCAAGTGTTCATGCTTATAGAGATGTAAGGAAGAGCATGCCTATAAACCATAAGCACAGGCCTGTCTTTGAAGAAAACAACAAAGAGTGGCCATAGTGATCCAGACTCTGTTTTCTGCATGAGGTGTTTTTTGGGGTCTGAGATAGTCCATAAGCATATGGATCATCAGATGTCTATGACCACCTTAATGTTTCTGTAGTTTACAAATCATAGTCACAATTGTGCATAATGCAAAATATCCTTCACTGGTGATTTGTAAGTCCTAAATATCAAATTAGTTAATCAACAAATGAGATATCATGGCCTATTAACTTTTTATATGATGGAGGCATGTAGTATAAGTCTCTCTTTTATTTTCTCAAAATTCTGCTCTTGAAATGTGCCTAAATAGGGGTGAAGATAGATGATGATGAAAATAGGGGTGAAAAAGTGGCTTTGCTTTTTGAGCAGTTACTTTATTTGGGCAGCTATGGACAATGAAGTATCTCCTTAGGTATAAATATGCAAAGCAAATACCGATTTTGATTATTTTGGCTGATTGCATAGAAGAGCCTACTGAATAAGATATTAGGAAAAGGATTTCCGGTTTCTTTTTCTGAATACACAGGCAACTTCCTGTTGAAGTTAGAATGTTTAAAACTGCATATTAGTAAATGTAATTCTTTAGAGCACACAGTGGCAGAAACAATGCTGGGTGTAGATCATATTTCTTTACAGAAACATCCATAATTGCATTGGAAGTCACTGCACACTGTCCAGGGAGTATCTGCCTGGGTGCACTGCAGCAAAGCGAAATCAGTAGTAAGTAGAAAGTAGTAGAGGCACTCATGGGTTTTGAGCAGGAGTGTTTTTACAAAAAGGAGTTGATTTTGTACACTGCTTCGATAGATCGCATTCCATCTTTGTCAAAGGTTCCTTGAAACGCTGGACAAAATAAACTGTTCCTGTTTGGACATGCATTGCTGCTCAAGACCCATGAGTGCCTCTAATACTTTATATATATTTACATATGAAGTGAAGTTTTTGGTGAAGTTTTTCTTTTGTCAGTGGTCTGTAAGCACAAATGTGTAATAAAATAAGGAAAAGTGTAGAACCCTCTTCTTTCACCCTCTTCCTCCTAATGTCATAATTTCCTTTGTCCCTCTGGGGTCCCTGCTATTTAAATGCTACTCTATTCTGAGATGTCATTCCTTTACTTTGCCATTGCCACATTTAAGTAGCTTAGTACTGTTGTCTACCTGCTGGGGATACAAAGACAGCAAATCCAAGCTATCTAAAATTTTAGACAGCTGCTCATGGCTAATGAGGCTATTGAGAATTTACAGCAATGTGTGTTGCCTACAAAGAAAAAATATTTACATTGTACCTTTTTTTTGGCTTTGAAGCACAGCTTGTGATTCAGTGAGTACATAAGGAAGTTGCAAGCATGTGAATTAATTCTTGTATTAAACAAATTGATCAAAGGAATTTGCTTCACTTTGCTTCACTAATTTGCTTCTCTAAGCGTACTTTTTATACCATGTTACATCAATATTTAGGATGTAACATGAAAATGGTTACATTGCCACCTTCCATTCCCCATACCACAACCACCCCCTCCCCACTTACGTGAATCACATGTTTTTCTGGCCAGTCTGCTGCAGTTTCTTGATCACAGCCGGAACAGAAGGGGAGAGAGGTGAGCACTGACTACCACAGGACCGAGGATCAGGTAAGTATATCTTTTTTAATTTTCCCCCAAGAGCAAAACCCCTTTAGACCACTGATGCGCCAATGCAATGTTCAAAGGGGCATTTCTAGGATCGTAAAAGCAGGGACATTATCGCAGCATCTTTTTTTAATACTGCCGTAAGGGGCTAACATGTCCTTATCTCACAGTATATTTTTTTGTATGAAATGTTCTATTTCTGGAAACATCTATGGTCAATCTGATCCTTGATGTCTCCTCTATGTGCAGCAGATACAGAGTGGGAAGTCACCAACCTGCATTTGAGCCAGTCCAAAGCATCAGCAGACTGAAGCTGAACCCAGTGTTCCAGGGTTAGCACTTGTAGGTTAATTTTCTGCTGAGGAGTTCAGTGAATTGGAATTCACTGATCTCCTCCTCTTGGTTTCCTGACTGCAGAGGTTGAGGTTCCAGACTCTGCTTTCTCTACAGGGAGGCTGGGGCACTGTTCCTGCAGTCAAGAGGGGTGTGGCAGCCTGCAAAGAAGATTGGTGCACTCAGGTTCACCATGCTCATCCTATTCTGCATCCAGATGGAGGAGTTGTTTGGCTTACAGGAGAGGATGGTGAGCGAGCAACCATGAGTAGGGGGGTGCAGGCAGGGAAAGTTTGGGTGGTGAAGGAATGCATACTGAAACCAGAAACACAGGCAGAATGTGCTTGTGCTTAAACCAAAAACAGCAACATGACCTTCAGCTACAGTAAATTACAACTTATGCCATACTGGGGCATCTTGTTAGATAATGGCTAGGTGATCCTGCTAAATACATTTCTTGATATATTTTTCAGTGTTTGTTTGCTGATTGTGTGCTTTTGTTAACAGAGAGATTACTCAGGTAAACTAGTGTGGCTTGGGCATTGTAAAGACTAGCTTCTATGTCAGTAGGAGAACAGAGGTGTGCATCAACATGTGAGCAGTCTATGACAGTGTTTCATTTAACTACTTGAGGACCAGCATGTTAAATCCATTCATTACTAGGCCATTTTTTCATTTTTCCGTGCTGTGAAAGTTTGATGCAACACTGTCCCCAAATTTTATGTCATTTTTGAGACAGAGCTGTTTATGGTGGTATTTACTAACTGATTTTTTTCTGTTATAAAACATAGAAAATAAAAATGCCACGGCATTAAGAAACCCCACAGAAATTACCCCTTTTTGGTAAAGTAGACCTCCAAGGTGATCTGATTTTTTTGCCACTTTTGGAAATGAAGAAACACGCCAGTATTGAGAAGGTTAAAGTATGGAGCTTGGTAATGATGAACTAGATACATTAAATGTACAGGTCTTACACAGAGTGAGGAAGAAGTGAAGGGGTTAATGTACTGGTCACATACAGAGGGAGGATGATGGGGTTAATGTACAGATGTGCTGGACAATGGAAATGAAAGGGTTAGTATACAGGTCAGTTCAGAGACAGAATAGAGAAGGGGTGAAATGGTTACTAATGCTAACATGTTTATTTGCTGCTGCAACTTGTTTTAATCAGGAACTAATGAATTAATGATTCTTGCATTCATTAGTTCTTTCACTCTGGCCTCTGTTGTAAGAGGAAGGGGAGGGCGCGGCAATATAAACATTGCCATGTGATCAATGTGATGGCCAATCACAGTGATAACAAGGAACAGAGCCGGGCCAATTACCCACTAAGCCAGCCACCAACCAGCCATTTATGTACAGTGGGTGGTAGAAAAGTAGGTAATGTGCGCAGTATATGGCAATCTTTTGTTACAGGTGAGTAGTATCCATGCATGACATTAAAGGTAATCCCTCACTCTCACTTCCTCTAGTGGATATCAGGTACTACAGTATCTTAGAGAGGATATGAAAATAATAATTGTGCCTGTAAGTACCCTAAAAGATTAACTTTTTGTCTTTAATGCCTGCTGTAACTAGTGATGTAGGCCAGTGGCGTAACAATAGCCATAGCAGCCCATGCAGCTGCTAAGGGCCCTGGTGTATAGGGGGGCCCAATTCGGTTGATTTGGAAACCTAAACTGTAAGGTCTCAGGATCATCTAGTCGCAAATCCTCTTCTGCACAGTAAGAAGCATTTGCTTCTCTAAACAGTGTAGCTTTATTGCCATCATAAATGCTACAGATTGAAATGAACCCTTTATGCCTAATATAGTGTGTGGTTCTACAGAAAAGGTTTAATTAACTTTTGTATTTTGTATTAAGGTTGAAGAGAAAATGTGTTCAAGAGCAATAATCATTTTATCATAACATAAAATATAATTATGGTTGTTAATATTAGTGGCTACTATAACTTTTAAAACACACAACACTACTCCCTTATAGTGTACTTACTATGCTGACAGCTCTCCTGCTGCATGTCCTTGATACCTACTTCAAGATCATTGACGCATATGGTCACAGCTGACACTGCCAGTCACTATAGAAAGAGTTTGCCAGGGGGAAGGGGCTACGGGGCCCCATAATTTGTAGCTACCCCCCTCATAACTACATCTGCAGTGTGATGTCTTCTAGGACACTGTGCCTCTGTCTGCTGATCTCACAATATTTGGGCTGAGATTTGATGATGTCACTACTGTGCTGCTTGTAAAAGATGTGCTACTGTGCCACTCACTGTTCTCCTTGCTGAAGAGAAGGCTGTACCTGAAGGCCTGCAGTGCAAGGATCCCCCCTGCATCTACTTGATCCATTCTGTGAATCTGCACTTTCTGCAGCCAGGGCCGGATTTACTCTCCCTGCCGCCCCAAGGCCAGGTTTCCGCGATACG